GAAGTACCAGTTAGAACTGGATAAACCCTTCCTGACTTTCTACGACTTTCATTTAAATACTCCTCTTCCAACCAAACTCACTCTATCCCAACCAGATAGACTTGAATTCAGAGTTGGGAAGGGGAATTTAAGCTCAACTGTACTGATTGTAGCAATATTCACATGTAGTCATAAAAACAAAACCCTTTCTCTCCTTTTCCCTCTCCTTCCCTCCCACCAACCCACCTCCCTTCCTTGATCTTCAGGATAGTACACATCTGCTGTTTCAATAGTCAATTTGCTTATTGGTTACAAAAATGTTCTATTTCTCTACAAAGAGAGAGGCTAGGAGTGGAATGCCATCTTGGGTCCAATTAAGCTTAACTGACTCAAGAGTTTTATTTTCTAAACCATATTATCAATAATCATTCAATAATGATTCTGAGCAACTTATAAATTTAAAAGCTGTGCATGATAATCCAGGCCACATTCTTTGATTAGTTCTGTTGTTGCTGAAACAGATATGGTCATATTAGGAGTGGGGAGTATTTTTTTAAGGATTGTGACTAAATAAAAACTTAAATTAAGTTTTAAAAACGGATCCAATCAGCATATTTTGTGTGTGTGTGCGTGTGTGTGTGTGTGCACGCAAGCGCCTTAGGCTGTAAGCAGCATATAAAATATTCAACAGCACAAACAAGAAAATTTAATACGCAGATCCTATAGGAAATGTACATTTCAAAATTTTACATTGAGTTTGGTGGTGTAATTAATTATCCAAACAGCAACAGCTGATAGACCCAGAATAGAAAGGGGTTCAAAAGAACTAGGATAAATATGTAAGAGTTTATAAATAACATCCATCTGTTATTAGTTATATCATAGATGCAGCAAATCAACACATGTTCCTCATATCGGTTACTGTTTGTCCCAAAATATCTCTCTTGCCAAAGCACCTTGGAGCAAAGTGATTGATGATAAAGAGGCAGAGAGGGTACTCTTCAATTTTTAGTTTGTAACATTTCTATATGATGGTATGTTCTCCTTCTCCTTTTGTAACAGCCTTGTGGTGTTATCTTTATCTGATACCATAGTATCTGTGACAAATAAAAAAGAAGCGATGAATAAAATGGGTCACGGTCAGGCATTTTTCAGTATGTGGTGTGATGCTGCTGAGGATAGCCGGGCGTTGGAGCTTGGAGCAGCAGAACTCCACAGAGCAGGTGCACGGCAGGTGCACGAGGGCGGTGCCTGCAAAGAACCAGAGGGCACCACAGCTGAAGAGGCCACCAGAGGACTTCCAGAAAGTGTGTGGAATGAAAAGATTCGAAAAAAATTACATTAGTGGATTATATTATAAATTCAGGGCCTTGCCACCAGCCTCTGCCAAGTTTTAGCTCCATGTTTAAACTATTTTCTTCAACTGATTCCACTCATATTGAAATAGGATTAGTATTGTCAATTTTCTTTTACCCACCTCACAGAACATTGTTCAGAATGGTTAGTATCTGTGAAAACGTTCACGGAGGTAGATAAAAATAGCTATCCATCTATCTACCTTTCTCTTCAATCCAATGGATATGTACAGACATCCTGAAGAATCAGCTGGAAGCTAGAAATCCTTCTTCAAGGATTGTAGTCTAGCTCGGGAGATAAGGTACAGAATTCATTATCTAATGCTACATAACAAATTATTCAAATTTAGGGGCTTAAAATAACCAACTTTTATTACCTTACAGTTCTTATAGGCCAGGAATTGAGGAGCAGCTTAACTGGGTTAATCTGGCTCAAGATGTCTGAGAAGGCTGCAGTGTAGCTATCAGTTGGAACTGCAGTCTCATTCAAAGGCTCCACCTGCTTCCAATCTCAGTCACAAAGTTGTTGTCGGGCTTCAGTTCCTCCCTGTGGAGCTGGGAGACCTCAGCTCCTTACCTATCAATAGTTTGTCTAAGTGGTCTCCTAACATGGCAGTTGACTCTCCTCTGGGGGAGCGATCTAAGAGAAAGTGAATGGGGGAGGGAGGGAGAGACAGAGAGCAAGCGAGAGAGCACACCCAAACACCGAAGATAGAAGCCACAGTCTTTTTTTTTTTTTTTGAGACGGAGTCTCACTCAAGCCACAGTCTTTTTATACCCTAATATCAGAAGGGACATCCCATTACTTCTGCCACATACTGTTGGTCACGCAGACCAACCCTGATAAAATATGGAAGGGACTACACAAATGTGTGAAAACCAGGAGATGGAGATTATTGGGGGTCACCTTGGAAACTGGCTACCACACATAGTTCTTATGAAAAAAAATCAAATGTGCAAGTTCAATGAATGCTAAATCTAAATGAGTGATTCAGAAAACACAAGAACATCCCAGGAGGGCTGGGCTACTGAGCAAGGGGATGTGGCTGACACGGTTTCCAACAGGTCTTGAGGGACGGTTGGAATTTAAACAAGCAGGTAGACACTGGGAAAACATTCCAGCTGAGGAAAATAGGATGGGGGAGGAGAGACAATTGTCCACAAGACATACAAGAGAAGCTAGGAAAGCCAGCTAAGTTTTATTCTGATAGCCTTCCACTTTTGGGGTCCAGTAAATTTTTCAAGAGAAGATAATACTGAGTTTTCCTGCCTAGACTTCAGAATTGTAACTCTTTGATACTATAATCTATGATCCACTGAACCTCATGAAAAATCCCATTACAGACAGAAGTGCAGAAGGCACCCCAAGATAATGAGAATCAACCCCTAGAGCACCTATAAACCTAAACTGGAAACACTACACTACTTAAAGCATTAAATTCCCCCAGTGTTTTTTATGCACTGCAGCAATATGCTACCAGATACTGCAACAGACCATTATTTTTGAAATCAAAAGAGTCTTACCCCAAACTGGGACTAATCAAACATTAATGAATTTTGATGAGCTGTTTTCATGGTCTCTATTATCTAATGATTAATATCCTATCAATGAAATATTTCTCATCTCATTTAGCCTCCTAATTTATTTAGATAGGAAATAAACAAAGGAAAATGATATATCTGCGTTGGAACTTTTTCTTCTTCGAGATCAATGTTTAATAGTGAGAAGAGCACTCCATCTTTCCATTGATCCCTGTTCAATAGCGTATGTGGGTCACCTCTGTAATTGGCACCTAGATGCGAGACAGGAAATGAAGTAAGCCCCTCTGCAATCCAATAGCATGGACTTTGGTGACTGAGGGGAAGTAATTTGTTCCAACTCCAGAGTTTTCATCATATTTTAAATTGGTTAGTTATGCCCTTTGTTGTCTTTTTTTGTGGGGGGTACATAATACAAAATTTGCCATTTAAACCATTTTTCATACACTTGAGTGGCATTAAATACTTTCACATTATTGTGTAACCATCACCATCATCCAACTTCAGAATTTCTTATCTTTTCATATTGAAACTCTGCAACTATTAAACAATAACTCCCATTCCTCCTTCCCCCAAGCCACTGGTCATCAATATTCTACTTTCTGTCTCCATGAATTTGACTATTCCAGGCACATCACAGAAGAGGAATCAAACAATATTTGTCCTTTTGTATCTGGCTTATCTCACATAGCATAATTTCTTTAAGGTTCAACCATTGCCCCTCACTGTCTTAAATATACTTTGTCCATGAAGAAAGTCACGTTCCTTCTTAAGCATGTGGAATTTGTTTCTGTCGTTATGTGAGGTTATATGTGATTTCACCTCCCTTTAACACGTAACAAGCAAGGATGTCACAGGAGGGGTATCGCTATACACTCTTACCTCAGAAACAGAAACAGAGAAAGAGAGCTGGTGAGTTGGCACTGTCACTGAGGATGTGAGCAAGGACTTTCTAATGGGGTCCAGAAGCAGTTGTCAGGAGCTCAAGGTGAGAGGGCACGTGGTGGGTCTCCTGACACTTCTGGCTTACACTCTCTTTATATGCTCCTGAATGGTGAAGGAAATCTAGATCCATTTTCTCCTGGTTTTAATAATAGCCCTGGCCAGGTGTAGTGGCTCCTGCCTATAATCCCCACACATTGGGAGGCTGAGCTGAGCAGATTGCTTGAGCTCAGGAGTTCGAGACCAGCCTGGGCAAGACAGCAAAACCCCATCTCTACAAAAAATACAAAAATTAGTTGGCCATGGTAGGGAATGCCTACTCACCTACAGCACCCAGATACTTGGGAGGCTGAGGTGGGAGGATTGCTTGAGCCTGGGAAGTGGAGGTTGCAGTGAGCCAAGATCATGCCACTGCACTCAAGCCTGGGTGACAGAGCCAGATTCTGTCTCGAAGTGTATAAGGCTTATATACACACACACATACACATACGTGTATAAGGCTTATACACACACACACATACACATACACTGGAATAAAGGATTTTATGTGTTTAACTTACACTATGCTTCACTGCTTGTGAAGAGATATGGGTATTTTGGGCATTAATTAGGACCAGAAGTTGTTTTAAACGTAAATGTGTAGCAATTTCACTGAATCACTGCATGCTGTCAGTGTGATATATATCACAACATCAGATGATTGATTGATTGATTGATTGATAGATAGATAGATAGGCAAGCACATACATTATACCACTTAGGTCATGAAATAATTCATAGCTAGATCTGCATGTGTATAGGTGAGTGCACGCATGTGTATAGTGACATCAGCAAAGACAATGTGGCTTCTAGGTGACTATGAAGGACAGTGAGGAGAGTAAATGTCTAGGTAAATATTTGACGAGCTATGCTGGTAAAACTGACTAACACAGTACTGTTCCCTCGCTTTGACATCAACAAAGCCACCAGAGGGGTATGATCTTCAGGATGGATGTCACCTCACAGTCCATTGCTGTAAGGCGTATTTAGAAGGAGAGAAAAAGAGCTTTTGAGAACTGTTTGAAGAGGTAAGTGGGATTTCATTTAATGCTCTTCAAAAGATCCAAGTAAAAGACGAAAACTTCTTTTAAAATTATTTTGGCAATTGGACTATAGTTTACATGCAATTCCATGAAGAAATAAGAGTACATCCAAACCCATCTTTTATTAGGGTTACAAGTCACACTAATTTTTTTCCCTCTCCATCGTCATTAGAAGGACCACTACATGGCCTTAACTGAGCTCATTCTCAGCTGACCATTGTTTTGTTATTCTCCGTAACTGATGCGGCTGCTACAACAGACAAATTCAGAATCTTAGTGACACCATATTTAGTTCTCACATAAGTCAAGTCTTATGCAGATTTCCAGGCTCACCATTTAGTGAGTTAGATAGCTCTAGGTTCCCTTCATCTTCTGGCACTTCCACATCTCAAGTCGTGTCTTCCAAAGTTGCCACAACAGGGGAAGAGAGAAATGGAGGGGGCACACACCTCTTAACTGCCTTGGCCAGGAAGTGATTCACATCTCTTCTGCTCACAGTTGATTGCCCCAAACCAAGTGCAGAGGAGGCCGGGAAGTGCAGGGAAGTATGTGGAAATTCAGAGAGCACCAAGTGTCTCTACCATAACCATGATATTGTTCTCAGGATGATAAAAAACGAAGACAGACTGTACTTTCCATTTGGTACCATATTCTGTACAAATAATGTCCATGTGTTTGAATTCACTGAAGATAATAGCAAACCAATGGAAATCACAAAATACTCTACTGATCTCCAGTGCTTATATGCAATTCCAAATTTCAAAATGCTCTGGAAAACAAAAGTTTCCAGTTTTTCCAATAACTAGTGCAATGGAAACAACATGACCTGAATTGAAGTAGGCTATTTACCAGCATACCTTGACCTCAGGTATTCATTTAAGAGGGAGTGAATCTGAATAAAATAGCCATAAATTAGGAGTAAGCATAGGAACTAAACTGGAACAACATTTTAGATATATTCGATTTGTCTCTAAGATTTTAGTCATTTGTCATGCAAATGCATTAGTCAACATTTATTAGTTCCTATGTGACAGGCACTGTTTTAAGTACTTTGTATTTATTAGCTCATTTAATGTTCTCAACAACCCTTTGGTGTAGGTGGTATTATTATCTCTACTTAGCAGACATGGAAATAAAGTCCCAATAAGTCTAAAAATGGTCACCCAGTTAAAAAGAGGAGAAGTTAGGGATAAAATCCAGGCAAACTTACTCCAGAAGCCCTCTTCTAAAACTACTATGCTATTCTGTTCCCACAAAGAATTTAACATCACATTAAGAAACTCTCTTACCTTTCACATGTGTCCATTAACATTTGATGAGCTAAACCTGAGCTGAGCTATGTTAAACTTTGAATCATGTGTGTATATATGTTTATTTATGAGAATTTTCAGTATTTTTTTCAATGAATAGTTGGTTTTATCTTAAGTCTATGAACAAAAAATTTTGGTTGGCATCGCTGTCATGGTTCTTCCATTTCACAAAACTTTCTGAGCCAGAATTCAACTGAGTTAAAGGCTAGTCCATGATGCAAAGGAAATTCCCATCAGTAGTTGAAGAAGATAGGCTTTGGCTTGTTTCAGGAAACTACACGGAAAAGTTCTATCAACAAGAAATTTTTATGTAGTAAATGAATTAACTGCATTAAATCAAGGTTTAAACATGATACAGTCCTCCCCCACTTTCAGCTTTATTTTTATTTATTTATTTATTTATTTATTTGAGACGGAGTCTCACTCTGTCACCCAGGCTGGAGTGCAGTGGCGTGATCTCGGCTCACTGCAACCTCTGCCTCCTGGGTTCAAGAGATTCTCCCGCCTCAGCCTCCTGAGTAGCTGGGATTATAGGTGCGTGCCACCACGCCCAGATAATTTTGGTATTTTTAGTAGAGACGGGGTTTTGTCATCTTAGCCAGGCTGGTCTTGAACTCCGGACCTCTGGTGATCCACGTGCCTTGGACTCCCAAAGTGCTGGGATTACAGGTATGAGCCACCACACCCGGCCCACTTTCGGCTTTATTAAAGTAAACTTCTTAGAAAAAAAATTATATATAGTTAGGGTGTACAATGTGATGTCTTGATATATGTATACATTGTGAAATGATCACATTAAGCTAATTAATATATCTAGCACTTCACATACTTATCATTTTTAAAGATTAATTAAACATACTGTAAACTACTACTTTCTGACAGCTTTAATGTCTCTTTTGTTGTAGGATGTTGACAGTAGAAAGAATGTTACTACTTTGTTTCCTGGGAATAGTCAATACTGACTTAAGAAATGTGTGACTATACTAGAGTAATTATATTAAATATACTTCTGAAAAGTTATTTTTCTTAGAGGTTGGTATTTTGAATTAAAAAATAACTATTTCAGAGAAATATTTTCTCTATAATTTCAAAAAATCTTCTCCCAAATGTGGTAGAGTCTTTTTGAAACTCTCTAAATTATATTACAAATTTTTCTAAATTATGATTTTGTACTTATTGATGTTTTGCAAGAATATGAGTATTTAATAAAAATTGTCATTAAGTTATCTAATTAAAATTAGCAAAATAAAGAGACTCTGCCTAACCTCTTAGTCATTCCCATTCCCTCACCTGTACGATCTTGAAAGAGTAGGGGAGTGGTTGGTTAGTTGGTTGGTTGTTAGTTCTCTCTCACTCTACCAGCCCTACCAGCCTGAGTTAATTTCCTGCACCGTCAGGAGCATCTTGATGCTAAGAAGTAGGTTGCCTGAAGATAGTCACATCCAATTCTCAATAACAGTGAAATAAGTATTTATCTATTTAAAAACAAACAAAGGCTAATTTGAATAGAAGTCAAGTATGACCTTCCAGACTATACATGCTATAGCATTCCGTTTTTGCTTTGTAACAAATGAATTGAAAATCTCTGTGCTTATAACAACTAACAATTAATTTCATGCTCACACGTGTGTAGGTTGACTGGGCTTCCACTGATCTAGGTTAGGCATAGCTGAGAAAAGCTGGACTCCAAGGTTCTAGTCAGCTGTAGGCTGCTCGTTTTGGGGGTCCAGGTAGAAAGTGTCACCACACCTGGGGTATTCTTCTCTCACGAGGAATCAAAAAAGCCCGAGAAGAAAAGCCAAAACATGGACATAAATTTAAAGCCTTTGTTTGTGTTATATCCCCTAGCATGCTATCAGGCCAGGCAAATTATATGGCCATGCCCAATTTTCGTGGGCATAAGAAATATGTCCTGACCACTCTGGAAGAGGAACTAGATCACAAGGTAAAAAAGCATGGATGTACAATTCCATAAGGGAAAGGAGGTGAAGAATTAGGAACAATACTTTACCATGTCTACTGATTTAACATTTAACGTTTTTCTTTAAAGAGGAAGATCCTTGTCAGAAATGAAGCCTTCATGTTTAAAAGACTTCATTTTTCTCATTCAGTTACTCTGTGCTGCTACCATCCCAAGATGGGCAGGAGGTGCATACCAGATGCATCAACCTCCTTCTCAGCTCTCTTCTCTCTGCTGGACAGTGTCCTTTGGGTGAACGGTTCCACTTTTGTGACTTTGACCATCTGAAAGATTGATGAAGCCTCCATCTCTGTATCCCCTTCTCCTCTTGGTGCCCCTCCCCTGTCTCTCCCTCATGCTCTAAAAACACCAACAGTCTTCCTCACTGCTTTATACCACAGTATCTTGTTTCTCAGCCTCTCCCTTCCAGGGACTGTGAGCAGAGACAGTGTGTTTATTCATCTGTTTCTCCAACACCCACCACATGCATAGCACATTGTCAGACTTTCACTAACAGCATAAATAGGAGGAGCATGATGATAAATTAGTTAATGCATATAATATACATTATTTTCAGGTGCCGGATGCCCTAAAAGCCCTGACTTGACCACTACACAACCTATGCATACAACAAAATTGCACATGTGCCCCATAAATTTATACAAATAAATAACTTCTTAAAGGCATAAATAATGAAGGAATAGTGAGACTTTTCTTCTTATTGGTCCAGAGAAAGTGTTTTCTTTTAAAGCATATCTATTTTTAAAAAATATTTTTAAAGACAGCATCTTGCTCTATTGCCCAGGCTGGAGTGCAGTGGCACAATCTCCTGGGCTAAAATGATCCTCCTGCATCAGCCTCCCAAATAGCTGGGACTAGAGACGCATGCTACCAGTCCCAGCTAATTTTTTTTTCTAAATTTTTAGTAGAGATGGGATCTCCCTATGTTACCCAGGGTAGTCTTAAACTCCTGGCCTCAAGTCATCCTCCTACCTCAGCCTCCCAAAGTGCTGGGATTACAGGTATGAGCCACCACACCTGACCCCCATATCTATATTTTAACAATGTTGAGAATATATTGTAATTTAGGTTGCCATTGATGCTCGCTATTGTTTTACTTTATAAATTCTTTACTTTCTATATTACTATTAACCCACACAGATCTTTCCCCTTATCTCAACTTCAACTGCCCTTAAACTTTATATCACAGCATTAAACACTTATGGTTGTTTAGTTATTTCATGTATTTTAGTTTTTTTCCTCCTCAATTAGATTATGATCTTCAAGACAAAGTTGTACATGCTGCAATGTACATAATATCTCACATGTGGCACATAATCAATGCATACAAAATAAAGTATAGGAAAAAATGATAATGATTAATACATAGTTCTTACAATGGTCCAGGCACTATTCTAAGGCAATCCACATGTTCTCATTTAATCCTCAAAACAAGTACGGTTGTTGTCATTCTTCTAAGGAAGAAGTGGAAGGCACAGTTGAGGAACCCACTTACTACATGGAGAGACTGAAATTCAACCCAGGCAGCTTGGCCCCAGAATCTGGACTTCTAATCACTCTCCATACTAGAAACTCAATAAACATGGCTAATTGGTTGAAACTTACCCTTAGGACAGTTTTCTACTGACATTTACCCTCACATAATTTTTAATCCTTTTTAATATTTACCTAAAACTCTCAAAAAGATGTGAAAGTTTACTGATGATATCGAGCAAAAATATCCATATTATTTCTTATGTTGGTTTCAGCCCTGTGCTTGGAGTAAACTGAAACAAAGTTTATCACAATTAGTGTGGGAAAAAGAGAAGAACATGGCAAATAAAACTGTATCACTCATTTTACAAATTTACTAAACTGCATGTCAGAATCTTTTGAAATCAATCTGTTAGCTCTAATGATAGGCTGTTTGGTTGATATCTTCTTGTATAAATTTATTTATGGCTGGAAATTTAGACTCTGCTTATTGATCCTGCAAAAAAAACTATGACATAACTAAATAATCTGGAAAACTCCATGTAAGCACAGAAAAAGTGTTACTGTGATGTTTTTGTTTTTGCTGTTTTGGGTCATTTGGCGCTGCTCTAACTTAACATTCAGGGCAGACTGGAGATAAGACTTCCTTCAAGAAAACATGCCTGACTGCCCATGGCACCCTTGCATTTCCACCATCATAACACTGGCCCCATAATATTCACTTAATGAACACCTCCTGAGCACCAGTTATACATCCATCACTACTGAAAGTGTGAGGACAGAACAGTGAACCGAATGGACGATATTATTAGGATTGTTAAACGTTCATTGGTGATTTCCATAGTACTTCAATGCCAGAACAGAAGAAACATAATCTTTCCTATTGGCATCTGTCTTTCTTTGTGCTGCTGTAACAAAATACCTAAGACTGGGTAATTTATAAATAATGGAAAATTATTTCTCACAGTTCTAGGAGGCTGGGAATTTCACAGTCCAGTAACTGGCTGATGTCGTGTCTGATGAGGGCCCTGTCTTTGCTTCCAACATAGCGCCTGTTGCTGCATCCTCCAGAGGAGACCAATGCTGTGTCCTCACATGGAGGCAGGGCCAGAAGCATAAAAGGGGCCTCGCTAATTCCCTTCAGCCCTTTGAAAGGGTCATTAATCCCATTCATGAGGGCTCTGCCTTCATGACTTAATCACCTCCTAAAATCCTCACCTTTTAATACTATCACTTTGGGTCTTAGGTTCCAACATATGAATTTTGGGGGATCACGAACATTCAAATCATAGCATCATCTCAATCTCCAATGCCCAGGATTGGGTATGACACATAACAGACTCTTAATAAGTATATTTTCAATGAATGTTGTTGAATTATAAAAGCATATTAATTTAGTATATAACGCATATAAGATAAAACATATCTGCAAGAAAATAATTTTCTTTAGAATTTACTTAAACTTAAATTCTTATATTGTCATAAATAAACCAGTGACCACTGAAAACACCTAAGTAATCACTTATAAGAAAAATTCAAATACTTTTTGGTGTCATGTGAATTTGAATACTACATCAAAGCAAATATCTATCTATCGTTATAGTATTTAGAGAAAATGCACTTTATATCTATTCATTTTTTCCCTTTCTGAGAAATAAACCGTGCAGCAGCCAGCATACAGTTACAAAAGGATACCAAAAAAAACCAAAAACAAAAAAACAACAAAAACAACAAGAAAAACCCCCAACCTTCTTCTGCATCCAAATTGCATGTAATTGCATGAAAAGACTTTTCTGTACCCAAGTCCACACAACACCAAAAGCAGACATCAACATGGCTAATATGTAAATATGTTTGGGGAGATGGGCAGCTCACTCATCAGGTAAATTTTAGGTTGTTCC